AAATACTGCATATATCTTAGCACATGAAATATACAATCTCTCCAAATCTTATACCAATACAAATAAAGAAAACAACCAAATATGAATATAAGAAAGCAAAAGCTGTCATAGTTTCAGTGGTATATCACCCACCCCATGTTCATAATAAAAGTTCGACACTTGCTTTTCCACTCATTCTTCCCTAATAAAAAAAGGCTCTCACATCTGGCCACTTCACCCACACAATCAAATATATATATATTTTAAATTAAATCATCCTAGTATATTGCACACTGCTCTCTTAGACATCATCAACCCCAGTTGCTCCAGTTATTCTTAAAACCATATTATATATTATAATAAGGGTTCTTTTGTTGTTCACACTTTTCTCTTTCTCCTAAAATACTCTATATATATCTCAGAGCTTCTTCCATTCAAGAATTTTTCTTTATGGTACATATTCTTGGAGGACTTTTCTTTCAGAAAACAAAATTATTACTCGGGGGAACCCCCATTATGATTGTCGTTGTTTTTCTATTTGTTTTGTGCAATACATAGGTTTCGATTTGTTTTGTTCATTCCGAAAACGAAAATTTTATTTCGCAGTAGCAGAGACCAAGAAGATAAAGGAAAAGATAGTCTTACTTTGCTCATCAAGACATAAGGTTAATTCGACTGCCTTGTTTGATGCAAGAGTTTTTGTTTTAAGTTTTCATCTTGTGCCTTTGAGTGGATCAGTTAACTCTGTGACTGAATTCAGGACTCATTTTCTGTACAACAATAAAATAATTCAAACTTTACTTCCAAAATTCCTAAATCTGAAGCGAATACTGTGGCCAGCACATATCGGTTTCTTGATTTTCAAGCCATTGTTGCCTTTTTCTTTTCTGTCTTTTTATTTTATTTTATCAAAACCTTTTTCTTTGTTGATTTTCATTTCTTAATACATGTTTGATGTTGTGCATGCATTACATGCTATGTATATATCGAGCTATGTTGTCCATCCCAGTAATCAACAATATTCTAATGATCAGCCATGCATACTTTACCAATCCTATAATTTAGACAAGCGATTTGAAAAAAGAAGGAAAGTAATATTTGCCCAAACTATCATCGTGAAATAATCAGTTGAGGTTCCACCCAGAAATCAATTGACAATGTGGAGATAGCTTGTGGAAAATCCCTTAACTTTCTGATGCGGGACAAATACTCTGAACATATCTATGGTCCTTATTTAGTCTGAAAATTCCATCATATATTGCCATATATAGTCTGGTAAGAAGGCATTTTCCAATCTATGGGTACACTTCTGTTTCTTGAATTCAACCATACTACTATATACATAAAAACGCAGTTCCAAATAAATCCAAAGTGCATATATATATTCTACCCCTCACCTATTTACATTATATAACAAGCATTTGGATTTTCATCACTAAACGTTTGTGGAGCATAGACATAGTGAATGAAATATGGAGCGTTGCTCTCTTTTGGTTTAACCTCCACCACCTTCATATCTCCCTTAGCTTCTACGACCCTGGTGATTGGCTCAGAAGATTTCTCACCACTGTCTTTCTCTTTCTCTTTCTCTTTCTCTTTCTCTTTCTTTTCCTCCTGTTTCTCTGCTGGTTTTGAGGCGCCCTTCTCCTCTTTTGTTTCTTCCTTTTTCTCTGCTGGTTTTGAGGCACCCTTCTCCTTCTCTTTTGTTTCTTCCTTTTTCTCTTCTGGTTTTGAGGCACCCTTCTCCTTCTCTTTTGTTTCTTCCTTTTTCTCTGGTTTTGGGGGCACAATTTCTGCATGTTTGTGCACCTTTTTTCGTAAATACGATACTAATTTTTCCGGCTCGATTGTTCCTTCCACTGTCAGAGTTTGTGCTTTCATGTCAGTTTTAACATTGTGAATACCTAGAATATACATCATTGACATATATGCTTCGTTAGAAATACCCTAAATGTAGATATACGTACGAATCTTCAAGAAAACTTTGAAATATGTTTAATTACCTTTTCTCTTTATTAACTTCTTCTTCAGATCTTGCTCACATTTGTTGCAATGCATGTTTACCTTCACCAATATTGTCCTTGAAATAGGCTTTGGAATCAAACAAAACAAAATTGGTTAACTATCTAGCTAGTGCATGCATTTCATCACTTTCATTTACATGTATATATCTGAGCTAGTTAAAGTTTAATTAATACTAAAAAAAGGTAAATATTGTGAACCTAACCAGGACCTCCAAGGTGCATAACGAACACGACGACCGACCCTTATGAACAAATTGATGAATAAGTTTAAACACTTGACTCCCTTTGAATTCTATCACCATATGGTACATTTCCTTTCTAAACTCTCAATTCAAGCAACTCATCATCCAAGTGGAGAGAGGCCTAAGATCTTTTCTACGCAAGGCTTCTCACATAAACTCTCAACAACGCCCCCTCTTGCGCTACTTGAGCAAAGCAACCCAAGATCTTTAAACCTACTATGGAAGGCTTCTAAATTCCAATGTTGGATAAACGGGCAACATCTATTTATTGGGAGTTGCTAAGCAAACCTAAGAATTTGATTAGGAAACCAAGCACTAAAGAAGATCACCAGTAATGTATAACTAAAAAGCAAACTTTAAAAAAATATTGTCCATAGGAAACCAAGCACTAGAGAAGATCACTAGTAATATAGGTACATTATTTACCCATAGGTAAATTGTTTTACAATATACTTATAAATGTGTATAGGTATTATTTGTAGAGGAAAATAGGTTCATTTAAAAAAATACGTACATTGTTTTACTAGGTACATTATTAGAGAAAAAAATACGTACATTATTTGGAGAGAGAAACTAGGTTCATTTAAAAAAAATTATTTTTCATAAAACAAATAATAGGTACTTTATTCAAAGAGAAAAGGGTACATTATTTAGAGAAAAAAAAGGTTCATTTAAAAAAATATATTTTTCTTAAAACAAACAATAAATAGATTATCAAAATATTTTTCAACATAATTAGAATGTACACTATTATTCATAAAA